TTAACAATGACTGAGCAGTTGGCTGCACTGTCAACAGTAGCTCCTTGCCAAAAGTGAGAGAAAAGCTAGCCAAGTGCGGTGTGTACATTTCATTTCTGAACAATCATCACTGAAAATGAGAGGAGGGGGGAAAAGACTATATAGCCAATAGAGCAACCAGTAGAGTAATTATATATATATACATACATACATACATACACACACAGATGCATACAGCACACATGTAAAAAAAAGAACACTGAATTTTGAGTGTTGGGGGTTTCAGTGATGTTACTTATCAATGACCTTTAAAGGCTTTGGCGTGCTGCTGTAGTGAATGTTCCAGGATTTGAGACAAAGTGTGAGTGGTGTTATCGTCAGCCATGGAACTTTTCCATTCTCATTACGCAGCCAATTAAGAGATACATGAAACTTGGCAATTATCACATACTTGCAAATTAAAAATGAGCTACTGTATGAAAACCATGGCCCCACTCTTAATGAGGATAACTGAAGTTTCTTGACTGATTGTTGATAATTCGGCATGAGCCTGGAGCACAGAGTTGCCTAAAACCCTCGCCAGACCAACAGAGGAGAGACAGAACAAGATCATTTTGAATGGCATCATCAAGCTTATTAAGTTTGTCTGTCTGGAGTTTGTGCCCTTCCAAATAGATCACATTCGTTTGTTTGAAATGGTTTCCACTCATCCGCCATCCACACATTCTATGAATAACAAATGAATAATTCTGTGCAAATAATGAGTAACAGCCAGCAACATGTATGCTTCCATACATTGTCCCCTCAAAATGTGCATGCACAAGGACTATACTTAAAGACTGTTTTGGGATGTGACTCGCCTTGTTCATGTTGCCTGCTTGCTGGGCTGCACCAAGGGTGGCGTGAGCCCCCATCTGTTGCCCTCCCTGGGTGAGTGTCTCTGCCAACGCACTCCCTGCTCCTCCTGGTCCTGGTGCAGCTCCCTGCATTGTGGGTCCTTGGTACTGCATGCCTGCCACCCCCGCTCCCCGTCCTCTCCCAGCTTCAGGTCCGAGACCACCATTCATCACCTGCCCAGGTTGGGGCTGCCCTCCCTGGGCCAGGAGCCCACCATGGCCCTGGCTATTGTTAATCATGGCTTGGCTGAAGCCTGTTGTGTTCAAGGCCATGGTTGCAGTATTATTGTTATTGTTCTGCCCCGCTATTCCAGTTGGTGTTCCTGCTTTTTGGGCCTGGGGGGACGGGTGGTTGTTGGGGGAGCCCTGGCCAAGGGGGCTCTTTCCCAGCGGTGTGCCCAGCTGAGGCCCCATACTGCCAGGCTGAGGGCTAGCTGAGTTCATTCCTGCACCTGTGATACTGGAGGTGCTACCTGCTCGAAGGAGCTCTGAGAGCTGCTTGTGCTTGGCGGCTGCATCCGGGACGCCACCACCGCCAAGGCCTGCCGGGGTACCACCTGGCCCACCAGCTCCAGGTGCTGCTCCACCATTTGAAGGCATCCCACCCATCATGCTCAGATCTCCATTAGGGATCAACTCATCTGGGAGGTCATTCTCCAGATCAACCCAGGATAGTGACCCCAGATCTAGGAGAGAAGGAAGAGGAAAGAAAAACAAGTTAATTTGATTAATTTGAGCAGATTTTAGAGAAGTTTAACAGATTCAACAATTTGCCTTCTTCTAATCCACGCCGACTTTGTGGTCCGTCAAATAAGCCAGTACGAAATTAAATACATTACATAGTCCATTTTTCTCTTTATGTACCACAGGCAACTCAAATCACAATTCAACAAACATAACTGTTGGTGTCAAAAATCAAACAAATACCATCTTACTCCTCAGCTCAGTCCAAATGTTTCATTAATTAGCAAACATGCTAACTGGTGCTGCTTTATGGCCTTGTCCCTGCAGCACATGAAAAGAAACAAGACGTGCGATAAGAGCATCACTCCTGACTGACAGACACAGTGTGACAACCGAGAGAATCCAGCAGCACTCTGGGTTCCTGCTGGGCTGTGGAGGAATATTTGTGTCACACCATCCAGAGGTGTGAGCGTAATGCTGAGACCCCAGGAAGCCATGATTTATTTGAGATGAACTGACTAAGAGAGTGAGAAGAAATGTGTGCGCATTAGAGCTATCCTAGACCAAGAATACCAGCTCTATGATTAATCAATTAGTGAGATGTGCTTGTATGGTTGGGGCAGGGGTCAGCAACGTTTACTATCAAAAAAGAAATAAAAAATATATCTGTGCCTTATAATTCTAATTTCTTGCCATAAATGAAGCATACCAGTAAGCGAGCAGTGTTGGTGATGAAGCAAACAAATCTGTCCACGTACTATGAAATTCTCCCTTTCCCTTTTTTGGGATTTGGAGTCCACAGCTAACCTAACTATGGAGAAGCAAGACTAGTAGCCACCACTAGTGAGGTTTGGTAAGAGGAAAAGGTGCCCGGTCAGGACGTAACATATGATGCACATTTTAGTTGACAAAATATTATTTGGTTTGGATTCAGCGTCTAATGGCTACTTTAAAATCAATTACAAATGAAAATGTTAAACAAGAAAACGTGAGAACTTTATTCATTTACGTATCATTTTTAGTCAAAGCCACAGGGAGCCATTGGAGAGGGGCTGAGCCGCTTGCAGCTCTGGAGTTGCAGATTGCCTACCCCAGAGTTGGGGGATGTCACCATTTGACTTTGGTGTGCGAGAGCATACTGGTTTTGAGGTAGGCATAAGGTAGTGAGTTTCTCTTGAGTGGTAGTTTTCCTTTTTTAAAACTAGACTCAAGTGTAAAACAGACAACTGTGATCACAACCGGCATGGCGCTAGTGGATTTCAATATGATAGGTCACAGTAAAAGGTGTTGCCATGGCTTAACTTTCTGATATTTCAGAAGCATGTTAACACTGACTCTGTAATCAAAAACACCTGTCACCTGCAGCTCTTTATTTAACTTGACCACCAGTGGTTGGTTCCTGTTTTACCACTACTCTGTTTGCAATCCGGTTCCTTGCAAACACATTTGCCAAATTCTTATTATCACTGAGTAATAGCAAGCCAGATGAAAAATCCTTTCAATTAGTATGGTAGGGTATATGGGATATTTTGCATGTGCAGGTCGCGCAGGCAGGGAATAACAGCTTTTCTTGAAATGATAGCTTTTTAACCTATCCAGTGAAATCATAAGCTTAAAGCTGTGTTCAGAATGGCTTCAGCTCCCCCTCATTCATTCAAGCATGGGTGCCAACACAGTGCTCCATCAGTAAAACACTGGTTGAACTCATCATTCTGCCGGCTCAAAACGTCATCATCAGAATCTGGTCAGTCAAATACAAACGTTACACTAAAATGAAACGTCTGAATTCTGATGATTCTTACTCAGTTTATCATGTAAAACAGCACATTCTTATTGGTTTTTTTTTTTAAAGGGTCATTTACTACAGCTGCACAGATGAAGGTACTGAGAGCTGAGCAATGTCACTTAATCCAAGACATATCCAAATCAAATCAAGCTCAGTTATTAACATACGATGAACAGGGCCTTGCCCTAATGCTATAGGATAGCAGAGGACAGAACAGAGCAGACAGAGTGGGGCAGTCACCCTCCCATCTGTCGTCTGCTGCTGCTGGATGTCTTCATTGAGATTCAGTCAGAATCCAACCTTTAATGAGGGCACTTGGCCTACGTACTTCCCTGAGTAAACACAGCCTTCCAGATCTGCCACGCTAGCCCGCTGTCTGTCCCTGGCATCAGGCAAGCAGGTGCTCCATGTGGAGGAAGCTTGTTTAAGGCTGAAGGGACCATCCGTCTTTCCCTCCCTCGCTCCTCTCAGCTCCTCCTCTAACCAGCAGCCAGAGCAGCAGCATTCAATTCAACCGCATGCTCTCAAGCCTGGCCCTGCGTTTATTTCTGAAAAGGACACACACACACACAAAGTGTGCAACCTTGCCCCCAGGCTCCTTGGCTGGAGACCAAAAATGCAAAGCAATGTTTTGGTTAGGTAGCGCCTCATGCAGTCAGGGAACCCCAACCATGGGAGGGGGGGGGGACACAGCTTTGAGTACTTCTCTTCTCTTCCTGTAGCCTTTTGTTTTACTTTCCTGGCTTCCATTTGTTTCCAATTACTCTTTCTTTCTTATGCTCATTCAACCAATTATCCGCCTTCCTTAACTGACTGATCGCCACACTGCTTCTCTACTTTTTTTGTGTTATATGCCCTGTGGCTCCCGTCCGAGTTGGTGGCTATAAATACACCCAAAAGCAGCCCCAGCAGCAGTCCAGACTGGGGAGGTCTGTCATCTTGCCCGAGGGCAGAGTGTCTGGCCTTAGAGACAGGTGCAGCATGGCTGCCTGCTCTTCACTTTCTGTGTACTATCACAGAAGGGAAAGCAAGAAAGCCAGTTAGTTCTGGGAAGGTAGTCTACGCTCTGCTTTTTCAACAGTACTTTATGGGTCCTTGGATTGAGTAATAACATCTGAAGTTGGAAGGAGATGTTGGAAAAATCTGATGAAAGGCTGTTCAGTTATGGCAGGGAATTAGGGCTGTAGTCAACCAAAGAAAATCTTGGTCGACTGAAATTCTACCTACTCTTCAACCAATCAGTTGGTCAGTGGGGGAACAAATCTGTATATTATTTCTAGGTTAACTAAAGTGCTACCTGGATAATCAAAGTTACAGCCAAGCAAATTAATTCCTGCAGTTTGACATTTCTTTTTCACATGTAGCTGTATGTATGCAGCCTCAGGACATTTCTAGTACATAAAGTACATTTACATACAGCAGCAACACACTCAGTCACGCACACACGCTGTCGAAAGATTGCAAAGCAAAACGAGCTTCTGTACAGTGACAACAACTACTTTGTGTTTTGGTTTTTGAGGCCGATCACGAGAAGCAGTATTGGCTAATACAGATCACCTTCACCTCTGTCTCAGACACCAGCTGATCCGCCCCCCGACTCTCTGTGCTCCTCTCTCCATTTCCAGGCTGTATGTGTCTGCTCCGTTACTTTGTTGGTCAGTGGTAAGTTTTAAAAAGGTCGCCCAAGAAACACAGCTCATGTTTTGAATGTTTTCACAGCATTTACAGAGACTGCAGACCAAACTAATTACAGCGAATATCAGTCAACTGATCAATCAGAGCACTTTTAAAAATAAACTTTGCTCAGCTCTGGTCTCCTGTAGAGATTGTTGTTGGTTATTTGGAACTGTATCAGCTGAGTAAATGTTCATTAAGTTAAGCCCTGTAGTCTCCAAGCTGCAAGTTAAAGTTGTGAAAACTATTAAATCAAACAATTATTAAAACAGGACCACATTTTTTGAGTTAAATATGTTTGAATATTATTTTAATATACAAGTAGCAGAGGGCGCTATCTACTTTTGGCTTTACTGGTTTTACGCCCTACGTCACTCGTGTCAGTAGCTATATGAAGGCACAAAGCAGTGCACCCGCAGGCAAAGACACTGAAATGGAGGCTGCGCTATCCAGTTTAAAATCACAAGTTTGGCAGCTCTTTGGCTTCCTTAAGTCAGAAAATGAAGAGGGCAGAATGACAAACAAGAAATGGGAAGACATATGAGGTTGTTGTCTATAGCTAGCTTTCTATTCTATAGCACAGGGTTATATCTTCAGTTTCACCTTTATAAGCACAAGGAAATAGAAATAGTTTTGCTGTAATTGCAGTCTTGGTATCCTGCAATAACCTGACAAAACTAAAGAGATTTAAAAAACACTCTCTCCCTTCTAAGACGATCCAATACGTAACTAGATACATTGGCTACGATATGATGCAGAGACTGCATTTTAATATGGAACAATCTGGTGAGACACAATGCATCTGAATGTAGAATAAATAAATGTAATAAAATAAGTCAGTTCTATGAAAGTGAAGTTGCTTACCTTTAAATACATTTATTTTGCGGAATCCAAAGTATTTTTTACTTAACTGCTATCCGACAGGCCTTACAAATGGATAGATAGACATTGGTCTAACTTTCCTTCCCGTCTACTGCCTTTAGACCCACAGTGCCCACTTCACCTGTGTCTCCAGAGCTTGACACAAACAACTAACAAAGGGATGTCAGAGTCGATGCCAGGGTTTTGAAAACATGACAATACTGGTTTTTCTACAGTACCGTGAGTACCAAGAAAATCACTTCTGCCCAGCCTGACAGAGCCCGTCCTGTACAGTCTCATAACTGCTCACAGCTAACACGCTCTGCAGACGGACAGAGACAGGCGCTCTGTGGTGCAGATACAGTGTTTATTCTCCTTTAACTCTTTGCTCCACAATGTTCACCAGCTAACTTTGTTTGTATCCAGTTTGGTGCTGAGCAGGTAGCGTACAGCGGGTTTTTGGCGATCATTCTCTGTAGGTTCATCGCTAATAGCGACCCCTTTCACATTTTTTTACCCTGCCAATTAATCTATTGTTATTATCAAAATATTGATTATAGCCACTTTATCTTCTCAACTTCAACAGTTTTCTATCTTGTCTCTTATCTTTTTTCTTCAGATTTCAATTTTCTTGTCACTCTCTTGCCTTATGGATCTGCTGCCACTCATTCTTGTGTTTTT